TTTATAGCACTATGCAGGTAAAGTTTGCTGTGGTGTTCAGTCCCTCACTCCATCCTTCTTTCTAACCTTGATATAAGTACAGGTGATTGTATTAAGATTATTTTTGTGTAGTATTTTGCTGATGCATAAACATTCATGTGTTCACCAGTAAAGCCTTTCACAAGCAGACTTGTAGTGAGAGCATCACGGCTGCAGTTTTACATTTCTAAAAGAGTATATTATAAAGTAGAGACATAGAAAAGATGAAAGTGGGGAAGGAACTGAATGACAAAACCTGCTCAGAGCAGGTAGATTCCCCAAGCTCTTGTTCTCTTTCCCAGGCAGCTCATTCCTCCAGCAATAGCAGCTAGCATGGACTGTGCACCAACGCAGGCTTAGCTTAATTGTTAATCTGGCACCACAGCTAAGCAAATATTTGCCTGATAATAAAATAATATCCTTTTCCCACAGAACGAATGTTTTCCTGGGATTTCACCTGCTTCTAGAACTTCCATAATTTTAAACTTCTTAGCCCAAGACAGCTACAGTTGGAAGACAGAACAGAGGGGCACAGGGACCAAAGATGGATGGATGTATCACTGGAAGACAAGGTGTGGATGTGTAGATGAATGACTGGCGTGCACGTGGGCGTGAGACAGAAAGCCCAAGTGGATAAATGGAGGTGTGGGGGGGTCACCTGATGATTGATGGCATTGTGAGTGGGTGGGTGGGCTTGGTCTGAGAAGGAGTGTGTGTTGGCACATGCTTGTGTGAGAGAGGCAGTACAGGAGAGAGAAAGCCCAAAGGGATGGAGGAAGGGAGGGAGTGGATTGATGAACAGGTTAGTAGGGGTGTGAATGGATAGATGAGGTGTATCCCACCCCTCACAAGAGGTTGTTTCTAACCAAATGTGACCCTCAACACAGAAAATATTGCCCACTCTACTTTACAGGATGAAGGTGAGGGTAAGGAAGGACCTTTTCTTAACTCTGTGAAATCACAAAATATGGCTACACAAAAGCCAATCCCTTTAATACCAGTTCAACCGGTATGGCATTCCCTCAAGGGATTCTGGGAAACAGAGCTTGGCCTAAGTACAGCGAGTTCTATAGGAGGACCCTAGCCTTGCTCACAGAACTCGAAGTCCCACCGCTCATTGTAAGGGAGGGAAAATATGGAATGGAACCATGCCCTCAGGACATCCCTGCTTTATTTGTCCTTGGTGTATTAATTCAGCACAACTTTGAAATGGAAGTCCTTTGTTCCCGGCACAGTCTCAGGAGCTCATTCTTGTGCATATTCCATCCTTCTCGCACTGGCAAGACCAGGGGTCTCAAACTCGCGGCCCGCACGCCAATTGCCGGGATGGGGGAGGGACCCTGCAGCCTTCAAAGCGCCGGTGGTGCCCGGGCCAGCCTCCGGGAGTGACGCGGGATGAGCGGCCCACCACCACCGCGGTGGTGGAATACTTGATGCGGCCCAGCCTCACCCAGACTCTACTTCCAGTGGCCCCCAGGTAAGCTGAGTTTGAGACCCCTGGGCAAGACAGAAGGTATTATTAAGCGTGTAACTAGTTACACTTGTGGCAATATGTATGTGAGCCATTCCTTTCCAAATCTGTTTCATGGGCAGATCCTTGCAGATTACATGGCCTTGTCTCCTTCTGATCAGACCACTGATCTGCCTAGGCCCCCATCAGGGCCAGCAGCAAGGAATGGCATGGCCGGGTGCCTGCCAAGGGTCCACAGCTCAGCAGAGGTCCACGGACAAGACACCCCACCCTCCACAGAGTCGCTTTTCCTCTTCACCACCGCAACTTGTTGCTCATCAACCTCTTGCTCTGGGCTGGACAACAAGAACCAGTAGATGCGCTGCTTGCTTGTCAGTAGGTTTTCTGCCCTTCAAGCATCCAAGCCATGGCAAAGAGGAAAAAGAAGAGGCCCGTGTAAGGTCCAGGACATAATGACCAGGGTCTACCAGGACCAGGGGGATGGAGATGGATGTGGTAGGTCGGAGGCAAAGGCAAAAGCAGGAACAAGCAAGGTGCAGATATCCAGAAGGCATGGCAGGTCCAAAGTTAAAGGCCGAGCCAGGAACAGACAAGTGCCACAGTGAACTGGAGCATCTTTGCAGCCTTATGGGTAGAAGACAAAACTATAAATCACTTTCTGGGAATCGTTTGTTGAGATTTGTTATTGATAGGAAAGAGAGAGAGAGAGAAGGATGTATGTTTGACTGTTGTTTTTGTTTTTTCTTTGTACAAATACAACTCTTTCTGTGCCCCCAAACTGAGAGAGCCTCAAATGTTTCTGAAGCAAGTTTTAATTAGCAAGCAAAATAGCAAGCTTTAATTTTTTTTAGATGGAAAATACCATTCAGGTAAAAAAAAAATGGGAAAGGTAGCAGAGCATATCCTGGAACGGACTCTTTGTGTACATGTGTGTGTGCGCAACTTAGTACATTCACAAAGGAGAGGGGAAAGGGCTGCACACAGTATCTCAAAGCCAGTGCTGATACTGCTTCCAGAGAATGGACTGAGTCATCCAGGGTGTGCTCGGAAAAAAGAGGCAAGTAGGTGACTGAGTCATCTTTGCAACAATGCTGAAAAGGTGAGGGCCTAATCCTGCACTCATTGCCAGTATCCCAATCTGGGACTCGATGGTTCTCTTCACAATAGTAGGAAGGGCACTACTATGCCATGGCTTCTCCCCATGCTGCCGCCATAACCTCAAAATTTATCTTCCAATCCTGGACAGTCTTTCAAACAGAGAACAATTGTCAAGAAAGGAAGACACGGAGCCATTTTAAGCATGAAATAAACTCGGAGTTGAGCTGCTCACATCCCTCTGCCTCAGAGTGCCAATGGCAATAAAGGACTCAAAAGAATTGCATGATGCATGTCCATCGTTCTCGAAAATGTGACCCAGAAAATGAAAAATTCATTTGTTCAGGAAATGCCTGTCGATTCCAAGCTAGAGCAGGGTAAGCAAACCGTAGATCCACATGCAGTGATTAATAAAAGCCAATGTGGATTTATCAAGAATAACTCCTGTCAGAATAATTTAACCTCATTTTTTGATGGGGTAGCCTCCCAAATGTCTCCCACACGAGAGACTCATCAAGGTGAAACTTGGACAGTCGGTCATCTGAGTGGGATGGTATAAATTAGTGCCCTGCAAGAGGAGGGAGTTGGACCCAATGGCTTTCTTCACCCCTTCCGACTCTACTGTTCTATGATTCCATGATTCCATGATTCATAACTGCAGGTCTGGATGATATATATGGTGATCCATGGGTCTGAGTGATATATAACAGATCAGCAAAGATTTCAGGCCCCCTGTAGCAACAACGAAATTACTCTCCGAACTCCATCCAAATTAGACTGCTAGAATTAAGAATGCTGGAGTAGGAGTGGGGAAAGAACCAGGACTGGGTCTTTATTATTGTTGTTGCTTCATGGAAGGACAATTAGTGCTGTTCAATTCTGGTGCTCAAAACAAATTTCTTGGCTAAGGAATCTTTCATCCGAAGTAGATGCTTTTTGCCCCGGCACGGGTGAATCCCCCCTCATCTCACGTCCCATGATCTTAGTCCCTGTCTCCCATCTTTTCCCCTCACTACTAACACAGCCCCCACAATTTGCCATCAAATTATACCTTCCCACCTCTCTTCTCTCTCCCCAGTGCATGCTATGGCAAGCAAAAAAATAGCAACCTTTGAAGCCGCCCTCTAATGGCACCCAAGCTGCTGTAGGAAGCATTTGCCTCTTGTTAGGGCTGGCCCTGGATGTGAAAGTTAAAAGCGATGCCAGGGTCCCCTGCTCAGTGAGTCAACTTTCTTGCCACCGTGGCCGCCAGCTGCTCTTGCCCCCACAAGCCTTTCTCAGCATCCTGACCACTAGTCTGCTCAGAAGGCAAGGAGTCTGTCATGAAGTCTGCCGTGGCATCAAGTGCTCCTTCTCACTCCCACCATTGCCTGGGCCAAAGCAAGGGGTGGCTGAACAAGCAGGCTGCAGTGGTGGAGAGGGGGAGCACACCCAGAGGTCCTCCTTTGGGAAGATGCATGGCCACGCCTATCCTTGCCGCTTACTCTGGACTGGAGATGGCATGTACAGAGAGACCATCTTTTTAAACTGAAGGCAGAAGAGACGGAGATGCCTTCTTACCTGTGATTTCTTCATTGCAGATGTACTGCCTTTTAATTCGGGTTAAGAATTGTTGTCTCCATTACTTCAAATGGAGTTTCATCAGCTGCTGTTTTAGCCCTTCATGTTCCCATTGCTGTTGTGACTGTATGCTTATTTTAATGGCTTTCTGCTTTATTATTGTGATGTGGTTCATAAATGATGAGCAGCAGGAAAGGTAGATCAGTCTTCAGTGCAGATGCAGTTCTTAAGCATGGTTAACACGCAGGCCTTCTCTGAACCATATGATGAAGAACTAGTGTTGCAGCTCATTTTTCTCCGCCCTGCCTCCAAATTTCCAACCCCTTTTTCCTATTGTGTTGCATCCCTTAGCCTGTAGGCAAACCCTACCATACTGAAAGCCACATCTGGGAGCCTTTCCAGCTGAAAAGCAGAATCTAAATGCCCTAAATCAATAAACAGAGGTTTGAAAAGCCACTTCAGCCATGGTTTCACACGGGGGTTTGGAAACTGAACTACTCCACTAATCCACAGCATAAACAATACCACACACAGGCAAAAAAGGTGACACTGAAAATTAGCTTTTGGTCCCAAATGACCTGACACATTTCAGGTCTTTTTTTCAAAGTTATTTTCCTTTTAAGCACAGAACATGTATGCATGGGAAAGTGTGTGTGTGTGTGTGTGAGAGAGAGAGAGAGAGAGAGAGAGAGACAGAGGGAGGGAGGGAGGGAGAGAGAATGTGTTTGTGATTGTGTTGGCATCCATGGATTAAGCATTCTGCATACAAAGCTTTGTGGACCTCCATGTTAGCATCATTCAGTGTTGTGGTGTGCCCATGAGCGAGGATGCAAATAATCCTAAAAGAGCCAAACTGTTTAAATATTTAACCATTTTATTTCAGGTTTGCCATTAACACACAAACAGCAGAGACCAACGTATAGTATACATGGTATACACAAAGCAGCCAGTACAATAGGCATTTCCATCCTTTTGCTGTATATCTTGCAAAAGAACCACATTTAAAAAATTTAAAAATAGAAGCCCCTCATTCCCCAATGCACCACAACAGAAAAGGATGCCAGTGTCATATAGCTATTCAGGAAATCAACAGTTCTGATCCTCAAATGTATAAGGCAAGCTTCTGAGAAAATCAGTAGCCAATCAATGCATTCCTGGATAAGATGGAGAAGAGAATGGAAACCCACCAATCCATATACATTTCCACAGAAGGAAGGAAGCCCTCTTGAGAGTGATCTGTACAGCCTGTAGACACCAGATATATCACCACTACAGACTTAAAACAGGTAATTCCTTTTCCCCAGGGAACCGTGGTTCTCCTAGGCTAGGCCCTTTGACTGAGGTTCTTCAAACTCCAATTCCCAGGATTCTTTGGAATGAAATCACAACCCTTCCTCACAAGTAATCTGTAAAGTGTGTTAGCTCACCCCACCACACATATCAAGCTTGGTGGTGTAAACTCAATAGAGGTAGAGAAAGACCCAAGGGTAGAGGGGGGCAGAAAGCAAAGCAGGATCTGCTAGTAGATCTCTGAGTGATTTGCAGTTGATCGAAGATTTCTAACTCCAAATTGTTTAGCAATAGCAACCACAACTGCTGAAATGAAGAAAATTTGGTGTAACCAATCCAGAAAATGGACTTTTCTTTAGAAGGGAGTTGAGCTCATTTTAGGACTCAACATGGGGCTCAGCAATCTTTAATTCTAAAGCTGTGCTGGCTGGGAAAGGCTAGGAGTTGTGGAATTTTCCTGTCTAAATACATATGCAATCATACCTTAAGTGTCTTTCACATCAGGCTTCTACTGCTTAAAGATTGCCCACACTTTCTCTAAAGCATCTAGAGTTGGGCCAATACCTTTAGCCAGCAAGGCCTGGTTGCCAACTGGGATGTCTGATTAATTTATCTTGATACAAATAAAGCCGGTTTGGATTGGCGAGATCCTCACATCAAACTTCAAGCCATTGTTCCATTGTTCTTCTCTTCCTACCGCACATATATCATTCCTCTTCCTCTTCAATGGAGAACTTATAAGGTATTGTAATGTTTTGCCCTGAATTTGGTCAATGTAGAACTAAAAGTAAGTCAGGTTGCAGTTGAACTGCAACAGTTGCTTAATGACTTGGAGTGTATGATGAATGGGGAACATATTGATGATTCAGGACTCGATTCCAAGGGGAAAAAAAACTATGCACAATTTGCAAAACATCTGGCCTAGCCAAGAGAGTTCTGTTGCATTCGGAGGGCATATTTAAACTGCAAGCGTAAATTAGCTGAACAGCTGTTCCCTTTTCCTAAGGAAACCTGGGAATTGTAGTATGGGGAAAGGTCGAGGAAGGAAAAGGAACCTGATAATTCACAACACCCTTACCCGACTACATTTCCCAGGATTTTTAGGAGGATGGACATGATATAAACACATATACAATTGATATATATGTGTAGGGTAGAGATATACTCTCAGAATAACCTTGGAAATGGTTCTTGCCTGCAGCATCACAGATTTTGCAACTGGCTTGATGCCTGTAATTTCACTCTGCTGTCCAGCTTCCCTGGCCAGTTCTCTGCATCTCCTCAAGTGCTGCAGGGCAAATGCTCTCAGGCAGCCTCTTCAATGTATTCTTCCTGACGTACCCCTTGATCTTAAATTGATTTAGTTGCCAGTTTATGGCTCTGGGAAATGGAAGCCATGGACTTCTGGGCATCCTTTGACCTTCAACCTGCAGTTAGTCCAACATCTAGCTTCCCATAGGGGCCAACTAGAAACCCACAAGCAACATAATAACCTTTCCCCGTGCTGGCTGTCCAGCTAGAAGTATTAAGTGCAGCTGCATGTAACCATCCTGACTAGCAGCTATTGACAGATTCCTCTCCCTAACCAACCTGTATTTGCATAACTCCTCCCAATATTGATGGACCAATGAAAACCATGTCATGGTGGCCATGCCCAACTAAGAACTCGACCTGCGATGCCATGGGACTATTCCTACACCAATAACACAATGCACCTTGCCTATTTAGCTACATGGCTGACTTTCCACTGAACACGGATGGGCAGGTTTCTCCATAGAGTTGTCTAAGTGCCAAGGAGGAAAGATTGTTTTCTGGAATTTGCTCTTTATCTCCAGATTTGCTTCCTCACACATACTTCCTGTTGTGCTGTGATGCAGTTGTACATGAACATCTGGACTGATGATGAGAAGAACTGGCCCAGGGAGTTGAGTGGATTTCCCAACATCTCAAGAACATATCACACTATACACTTAAATAGTTTCATTCCAGTTTCACTGCCATGGCATCTTGCAAAGAATCCTGGGAAATATAGTTTGGTAAAGGATTGTTCTGTTAGATATCCCTGCCTAAGCCTGATGATTAATCTGTTTTTAAAAATCAGAAGGGTGGGCCTAGTCAAAAGATGATCATGATCCAGGAAAATGAAAAAGTTTCAAAGAAAAAGAATGTATGCTTCTTGGATTTATTTGGTGTGATATTTCCAGTAGGAATAAGGAAACATCAATAATTATCTACAGGGTGTGAGTAATCCCAGACTGAGTGGTCTAGGCACATTATTTTCAGATCCCTTTTAACCTCAGGGACTAGAATTCTGCACAGAGGTCTAGACATGTGCGATCTGGACAATTCAATGGCATTAGAGAAGAACATTCACTGAGAAAGTTCTAACCCTTCCAGCAGTAATGTTCCCTTTTGTAGATCCAATGATGTTTCAAATTCAAGTTGCCACCTTCACAGTTTTCCCTGCCTAGCAACAACCCTAAATTCTCCCATTTTCAATATGCCACAAACATACTAATTTCATTGGAGCCACTTTGATCTTCTAGAATTGTGGACAAGCAGACTATCAGGCCCAGTTATTTTAATTCATAACATCTCTCATATATGATACACACTTAAAACCTTGTAAACAAACTTTAAGGAGGGAGGGGGACGCTACTACTTTCAGTCAACAATGACCTCTCCCTGCAAATACTCACAGAATGAGCACCATTTGGTGCAGGGACAAATAGTCCCCCTATTTGCTACATGTGGCAGAGAAACAACAAAGCCATTGACAGTATTTCTTCCTGGATAAATAACAGAACCCCCTTTGGGAGGAGGATGGTGGTCATGATGGTGACCCACCCATGATTTACAGATCGATGTGCAGGGTTAAGCTGAGCTAAAAGGCATGGAGGCTCCAGGACAGTCTCCTAAGTGAGGTGCTGTTCAGATGTGTTGGATCGCAAGCCACGTAACCCCCAGCCCACATGGCTCTTGTGGTGGCCTTTGGCCAGGATGGCAAATAATGGTAGGAGTTGCCACCCAGCACATCTGGAAGGTGCCTACTGGGGGACAGCTGCCCTAGGACAAACCTGATGTTTCCCTCATGAACCACATCCTACAAGCACGCAGGGTGAATGGAGGCTGAAGCGGCACCTAACACTCATCAGACCAGAAAAGCAGGATGCACCCTGCATTCCAGTCTGAATGGAGGGCAGTCTTTGGCTACACAGGTCACAGCTGACACAGGCCTGCCTCAGGATGCACTCTGATGGTGACCTCACCTATCTCACCTGTGAATCTTCTCTTCTGCTTATGTGGGAAAACAATGCCTTTCTTTCCATCTCCCTTTATGAGTCAGGAAATAGTTTGCTCTTTGCAAAGCACAGCTCCTAGTTTTTTTCCCCTCCTGGCTGCAGCACAAAACTGCCCCTCCGTGTCTTTTTGCAAGGGATCAACCACTGTATTCTAGCACAGATAGTTACAGTAGAAAACATTAAGGTGCAATATCACACAAATAAGCACCCAGAAGAGAACACCAAAGTTTAGTGGGCAACCTTCTCTATATCCTGCTGAGTATAGAAGCTGAGTTGGTTCTATGAATTAGAGAGCCAAATCAACTGGCCAACTAACAGTATGGTCTCTCTCTTTCACACATGCACCAAATTGTTCAAGTAGCACCAAAAGGGTCATTGTGGGAACAGCAAACTGACCTTCACAATTTGTCATACACAGTACAAAGCTGGCCTGGCAAAGAACCAAAATAGCCAGACATCTGCAGATGAAGGGAATATCAGGTGTACGGGTATTTTGCACAGACTGGCAGGGTTCTCTGGGCATAGTCAAATAAAATAGTGGATCTGGAAGACATGGTGTTAAAGAAGTTTTTAGAGAGGGCGGGAGGGTGAAAAGGACAAAAGATGCCTGAGTTCCTTAAATTCTGGGTGTGTGAGAATGTGTGCATGGAGGCGCAGATGTGTGGTGGGGGGCAGGAAGACCAGATGGATTTCCACCCCACCTCTAGGACACAGTCTCATGGAAGGACCCAAGGGAAATAGGCAGTCAAAACTAGGTTTGCTTCAACCTAGGAGGACTCAAGAGAAAACAGGGTGGTCAAGCACCATTAAAATGCACACCGTTCAGTTCAGAAACATTGACAGAAATAGAGGGATTACTTTTCAGCTCTGCACAGAAGCACAAAAGCCAGAAGAGGTGGTGAGGGGGGAAGAGGGTGCTTAGATATCCACAGTGCATCAGGGATGTGGTACGATGTCCTGCCAAGCCTTGGAGGTGCCACATTGTAGTGGTCATTAAACCTCGCATTTTGTTGTGGGTGCAGCAATCATTCCTTATGGTCCGTTATAAGGCTAGGATGCTTGGGGAGGTGGAGATGGGACCCCAGCAGGAGATGCTTCCCTCCTGATTTTGGAACAGGTTGGGGCATTCAACTAAGGGATGGCCACCACGGTCTTTTGGTCCACCTTGGATGACAATTTCTCTCGATATTGATCTTGCCTTGCATGCCCACAGAACGCGCCACTAGAGCTGTGCCAGAGGATGCGGCGGATGGTTTGGCAGCTTCGAGGTAGTTGTTTATTCTTGCTTGACCACTGAGCAACTGGATCCTCAAACCAAAACAAAGCCCCTGCTCAGGCCCTTCTCACTGGCACTCTCTTTTTGATTGTTTGTTGAAATGCACTATGTAACAGACCCCCCCTCCTCTCAGTCGACTCCCTCTCCCTTTGTACATTTTCGACCGCTTGACACCCAAGAGTCGAATGCTGCACATTAGACTTTGGTCAGGAGCGGGTCCAGCCCGGTCAGCACGGCCTCAGGGTGCAAAAGTCCAGCTCCTGCGGCTTCTTCCTGAGGTTACACCGGTCGCGGGCCAGGAGGACCCCGCCCCGCCCCGTGCATTTCAGCATGCGCCTCTTAAAGCCCCTGCCACAGGTTTTGGAGCACGAAGACCAGGGAGAGGCCTCCCACGTGGGGCACGGATCCCCACATATCCGGATATCGATGGGCCGCTGGGTGGCGTCGCAAGCAGAAGCCAGCTGGCCGAGGGCATCGCGGCAAAGCACCATGCGCTTCTGCAGCCCGTTGCCACATGTGACAGAACAATCCTCCCAGCTGGTGGTGGCCCATTTGTACGAGGGGCGTTTGTAATCCGGCCTGCCTGTATCCAAGCGATTGGAGAGGCTCAGGATGCTGTTGGTGAGGACTGGAGGGCGCTTCCCGTCCTTGCGGTACGAGGACTTGTCCTCCTTGCTCTCCTTGGGCAGGTAGAAGGAGTAGCGCACCCGGGGAGGAGTCATCTTGCCCACGGACAAGACCTCCACTGTCAAGGGCTCCTGGATGGGCATAAACGCCTGGAGACTCTCCACCGCCAGCCCTGTTCCACTGTAGCGCAGGACGCTGCCCTTCACCATCAGGTCCCTTTCCACCGCCGAGACAATGAAGTGCCCATTGAGGAGGTACTTGCCGTGGGAATTTTTCACAGCCAGGTAGTTGTCATCGCTGATCAGGCCCTTGTAGCCCCGCTGCCGGATGTCGATGCTGGACGCTCCCACAGGGATGAGCACCACAAAGTTGTAGCCATGCCTAGAGCGGGAAGAGAGGGCACCGGGTGCGGGGAGGACATGTGAGCAAGCAGATTCACAGGGCGGAGACCCTACACAGCAGCAGAGCAGCTCTCTGCCTGGAAGTGTGGTGTTCCTGACAGGCGGGCCATCTGTGCGGTGCATCCTCAGGGCAGCCGCCCCGGGCTCCGCATCCCCGCTTCCTTCAGAGCCACCCGGCTGGCCACAACTGGGCGCCACTCCCAGCCTTTGTGCACCCTTCTCAGCTTAATGTCCTGCAACTGGAATTTGCCACCAAAATGTGGCTGCAGTGGGTAAGACAGTGGCACTCTGCTATGGAAACTCAGTCGTATTCTAGAAGCAGCAGTACAAAGGGGCTACTCTGGTGTCAAAAGAGGCAAACCACCCATTTGCCCTCTCCTTGCAAGGCTAAACTTTGGAAGGGGGCAACACTGCCATTCCCCAACCCAGATGTAGCCCAGCCGTGCTGTAAAGCAGATGTTTGTTTACTCAGTACTCAAAGACACCCTCTTTGTCCCGTCAAAGGAACACACAAAACTGCCTTCACTGAGTCAGATCTCTGGTCCATACAGCTCTGTACTGTCTGCACAGCAGCCTTCTGGGTCTTGAGTAGAGGCCTTTCGCAGCCCTTCCTGCAGTTCCCAGGGGTCTCCTGGATTTGGGGTGGGGAATTTTGCATGCAAGAAAACTTTCATTTAAGGCCATCCTTGTCCCTTAAATGAAGGCAGGGAGCAGTTTCAAATAGAAGCTCACTCACATGGGTTTGGTGAACAATCCGGAGACCTTCTTGCAGCTCTTGTTGTCTCCTCCACACACTCCACACTTGTCAAACTTCTTTTTGGATCCAAGCTTCCCATCACACCCAGCCTTGATACATTTTCCCTGAACGCACAATGAAGTGGAGTCAGGAGAACACGGCGTACCATCCACCACCTGGAGATCACCAAGGCAAAGAACAGCATCCAGTGTGTCAGTTCCAGAGTGAGCCAGCAGCAGCGCTAAGCCACGATTCTGCAAGTGCTTCCCTGACCCTTCGCCCCACAAGTCCAGTGCAGCAGCACTGGTGCACAGAAAGGGGTGAGTTGTAATGGGTAAATTCATGGGTGAATTATCGCTCATGGGTAGATTATCACTCATGCCTGTGGAAATACCTGTAGCATGCATCTGACATGTTTACTGTAGTGTGTGGACTACTTGGAAGGACTATGGGGGCTTAAGAAAGGACAGGTCTTTGACTGCCATAGCAATTCTGTGCGGCACTCCATCTGCAGCGCAACCTTCGAGAACACTTTCCATGCCTACCATTCCGAGAATGATGCAAGCAACAAGTGATCACAAACCTCTCCCAGATACTTTCAGCATAGTTGTGTTATTCTCATCAAGGCATCAGTGTGACACCTTGCACAATTAATGATACAAAGGGAAAATACAAAGTTTCCTCATTTAGGTCACAGGAAAATCGTATATGCAATGTATATGTTTTATGCAATATTTAATTGAACTGATGTCAACCTTCCCCTTTCCCTTCTTAAATTTGCCTGTCTTGTCCAAATTTACAAGTATGTAAATACACATAATTTTATTCTCCCTCCCCGACACACACAAAGCGTAGCCAGCTCCACAAACTGCTTTAAGACACAATCCTATTTAGACTGGGGGGAGGGGGGTCCTAAAACTCCCAGCATTCCCCAGCCATGCTGGTTGGGGAATGCTGGGAGATATGGGACCACCTTTTTATGCTCTTTGTCCCAGTTTCGATTTCTTCTCCATGTTTACCAAAGGGATGATTTTTTTTTTCCCAACTCACCTTGGGAGCCAAGACGTAAAAGTAACCCGTTCCATTGGCTCTACAAATGAGCTTACACTTGTCGCGAGGAGACACCCCAGAATACTTAGGCACCCAGGAGACCGTCGCGGTGAGCCGGTTTGTGCTGTGATTGTAGCCGTTGAAAGCCTCACACTGCTCTTCTCTAAAGCTCTTCCCTGGGACTGTGAGAAACAATTCTATTCAGTTTCAGGTGCAGCCCCATTGCAATGGCTTGCAATTACCATCCCCGTATGCATGTCACTCATCCCACAAAAATTGGAGAGAAGTAGAGGGAGGATGGAATGGATCCTGCTCAGCAGCACTCCATATTGTTACAGGTCCTACCATCAAACAGCATCATCGAGCTGGAAGGGGCCATTGAGGCCGTCTAACCCAGAGCCCTGCTCAGTGGAGGAATCCCATTTAAAGCATCCCTGACAGATGGCTCATCTGTTTCCTGGTTGAATACCTCCAGTAATGGGAGAATCCACCATCTCCATTGGTTGGCAATGGAACCAACCAACAGAGTTGGTTCCATTGCCTGACTGCTCTGATTGTTACAAACTTTTCCTGATCTTCGACTGAAATCTGCCTTCCTTTAACTTAAGACCATTATTCAGGCCCTGCATTTGGGCTGATAGAGAATGTGATGCGCATTTGTTTGGTCTGATGCCCATTCATCTAGTTACTATGAACCAAGCCTTCATGGTGTACATGCCCATTTCTAACACAGGCGTTAGATAGGTCTGCCAATGCCTATTGATTACAATAGCTAAATAGAATCTCCCAAACAATGTACCACTGAATGTCAAGGTTACTGGAGAATTTAAAGCAGTAACTGGTTTGGGTCCAGCTTTCTTGATGGGCTGCCGCCACCCACACCAAGCTGCCAACTTAATGAGATCCTCATCAAAGACCATTCCCTGGGGCCCACTCAGGTCTGTTGCTTCACAAAACCTCACCTGAATCAGAGCAGGGGTCCAGGTTGCAGGAGCGGTATTTAACCCGGACACCTTCACAGTACTTCCCTTCGTTGGCAGGAGATGGATTGCTGCATTCGCGCTTTGCCAGCTGGACACCTCCTCCACAGGTCCGAGAACACTGGCCGTAGGGCGCCCACCTTCCCCAGCTGCCATCCACCTGCCAGAGTAAATCATGTTGAGCCAAGGTAAAATCTGCCGACCACCATCATCAATGCATCATTTCTACTGTATTATCATAAGTCTAGAAAGCTCTCAAGCCCTGGGCTTCCAAACATGAACCTCGTAAGTCACAAGTCATTCAGGCATACGATGCTCCTGCAAGTTAGTGGGGAATCAGTTCCTTTGAGCAAATGCAAAATGCACTTCTCTATGTCCCAAACAGAGGGCAGGTTTGAGAACATGGTCCTCAGATCTGCGGGCAGAAGGGCGGGGGACGACCACAAGTGCACGCGTAACACTGGTAGATTCCATGGGGTTCCTTGCTTCCTAATGAACCTTGCAACATAACTGAACATACAAAATGAACCTCTTCTTATCAACAAATGTACAACAAAATGGCATGAGCAATTATAATATATAACAACAGCAACATACTACAACCCATACACCTAAGTCCCTGGCAACAGCACCAATACAAATACACTGACTGTAAAGCTTTGAAGTTCAAATGTCCTTTTGAATACAGTGCAATAGAAGGAATCCAAAATGCCCTCTTTGGTCTGAGCACAGAAGAGTCAGCTGCATGCATAGAATCTGCAAAGCCAAGTTGGTAAGGGCCTTAATAGCAACAGCTGCTCCAGCTACTTCAGCTTTTCCACTCTTTTTTTATTTGAATTTCTTACAGTCCCACTCTTTCCTAGTTCCACCTCTTTGGGCTGAACCAATATTTCATAGGGTTACACAAGAAATTGCATCAATTGCCTGGACAATCTGCAGCCATGATTTAAATCTACATTAGATGGTGACAGATGGCTGCCCTTATAAAGGAGGGAAGCTGACATGCACTCCTAGTTTATAAAAAATAAGGTCAGGGGACATCTGCAATAGAAAGCCCAAAGTAGGAGCTCAATGCCTAAAGAAAAAGTAAAAATATAATTTGTACAGCATATAAAAGGAGTGTGTTATTTTGTACAAGTGTAGGTATTAGAAAAAATACAGGCAACTGTATTTGGCTGCATTGGATCAAAAGGTTGCAGAGCTCCAAGAATGGAAATAATAGTGTCATAACATCTTCCTTAAATTCCTTAGGATTCCTTGCTTGTGTGCAGAATTTGATAACTATGGTTACACGTGCCCACCCACTGCAAATATTATCATTCCACATTCTTTGGCTGCCTGCTTCAGAGCCTCCCGGGTCCATGCAATACATGACTTTGCCTCTGTCAACAATTGTTGAAGAAGGTCTTTATGCAGGGACCCAGAATTGTTAGGTTCAAGAAGATGGAGACCTATTAGGGGCTTAATGTGAGGAAATTCTTGATAGGAATCAGCCAACATGTTCATAAGCTCCTGCATGGTAGAACATTTCTACCAAAGCTGAACAGACAAGACCATGACCACCACATTTCCAGTACTCACTGTAGTTGTGATTTATTAGGTAAAGTCAGTGTGGATCTATGGTAAACATCTAGTTGGTTCACATCATTTAGAACTTATTTGTCCAGAATACTAAACCTCTGTGAGTACTACAACTCTGCTCCTCCCTGAACTCCATCCTCAGCACAGGGCGATCATGTACTCACCCGGTACTTACTGATGTTATGCCTCTCAACACAGGTACCCTTCAAGCAGAACTTCCCTTCTCCACAACTGGTGCCGTCAGCCCATGGAAAGTGTCGTGTTTGGCACATGATGTGGCCACGAGCCTTTCCTGTGCACCACAGCTTGGTACAGTACTGCATGTAAGGACAGGGCTTGGAGCCGATGCCAAAGGCCAATTCGCATTGCTGATTGAGGTTGTAGCTGGTCCCAGGAAGCTCTTCAGACAAGGGTATGGGCTTGGTGGGTTGGTCCAAGAGGCAGTCACCTGGAAAGAGTAGCAGGAAGAGGGTTAGCAAAAGAGAAATACAGATCTTAGAGTCGGACTCAACAGAACAGGACAATTTGACTGCAAAACAAATAGAGATTCAATCACAGATGGTGCTCCAACCCTTCTTTCTCACATAAACCTAAATTTGGTCCACCAGTTGCAAAGCTGAGAGGCTGCAAATATCACGTAAAGGCTACACCACCTCATACCCACACAGATTAGTTCTGTCACCAAAGAGAAGTGAGGAAGTGAGGAAAGAAGGCCAGCAACCCTTGTTGTTGTTCAGTCGCAAAGTTGTGCCCGACTCCTCGCGACCCCAGGTTCTCCTGTGCTCCACCATTCCCCAGAGTCCACCCATACCCACACCCACCACCCCAGGGACCCCATCCAGCCACCTCAACCTCTGCATCCCCTTCTCCCTTTGCCTTCAATCCTTCCCAGCATCAGGGTCTTCTCCAATGTGTTCCTCCTTCCCATTAGGTGGCCAAAGTATTTGAGCTTCAGCTTTAGTTCCTGACTTTCTGAAGAACAGTCAGGAGCAACTAAGACTCAGGCTGAACAAACTGACAAATTAGTTTTCACTCTCTCTTCTCCACCCCCCACTATTTATCTTTGTTTTAGCTGACATGAAAATACATGTTTCTTTTGATGCTCTTTTTTCCCAAACATTGCCATTTTGGTACACAACTTTACAGTTATTTACACAATATTTTATATGCCTACTTTTCTTTCTGGACAGCCTTGCAAACTTCAGAAAAGTACAAATGTTGACATCTAGCTGCATTCCTGTTCCTGTTTGGCTTTGTGACGTGTGGATCTGGTAAGCTCACAAGGAAATGTAAACCAAACAAATTTCTAGATAATAGCTTCCTTCCTAGATAATAACTTCCTTTTCTGTAAAGTTTTTGGCTGTGCTAATGTACATTTCCCTCCCCTCTGCTGATTACTTATTTATTGATTTTACTTTTATCATATTCGGGGTTTTAAAATTACTTTCTCCGTGTGTGTTTTATGATTTGCAGCAGCAGAATGCATACAGTTTTCGGAAATTTATATTGAAAGGCAGTATAAAAATATCACTAAATCAAAGGACATTCAATTAATCGAATAAAAGGCCAAACCTCAGCTGTCTTAGAGTCACACTTTCCCAGTCTTCTAAAATGGCTGCTTCCAAGCAGCATTCAGACTTTGCATTTCTAATGATTTACAGCCTGCCAAGTATAAACTGTTTAAGAAAAGCAGAGGTGTGTGCCAAGTTCAGCTGGGTCAGGAAATGTCCCAGCGATATGTGATGACGCCAACCTTGCAGACAGCTGGTTTCAAGGCCCTCTGACAACTCTTGCTCTCTAGGCCTGCCTTCTGCAGCAGCCTCTCTCTTTATATCCCAAGTGCACATTCACACAACCATTTAAGTAGTATGATCGCATGTTAGGGATGTACAGAACTTATCCGAGAAGCTTGCCAGGTATTTTAATCCTTGTCACTCCTGCCAAATTGTCAATTTGTTCTCTCAAGCAATAACCTCTAAATTCACACCAGAGTTTCATTTTACTTGAAATCCACTGGTTACTCTCATCCTGGGTTTCAACATCTTTGAACCCTAAATAGGGAGTTAGTTTACCAGCTCTGGACTTCCAACAGGTCATGAAGTGCTAGTGAGGAGCAGAGAATGACACCCAGAGCTTGACTATCTACTAAGAATGGGTGAAGATGTTGTTTTAGTCTGTTTTGGTAAGACTTCACCAATATTCCCAAATGTCTTCAGAAAAACACTTGAGAATTTTTTTTAAATCCATGTGTGAGAAGCCAAAGGAGAAAGACTGTCCATCTGGGCCCAGGACATTGAGTGCTTACTTGTAACTCTTACCAGACTGAGTTTGAATCCCTGAGTATTAATCTTGTACGTGGTGCTGAAGAAGGCATTTTTCTGGTGCCACCACTTTTGTCTAAGGCTTTCCTCATCTATAGTAACCCCATGGCAGGCAAGTACAACATGGCCGCCATGGTGGAAGTAGCTCAACTATTTATCTGGTTCAGTTAGCTGAGAATTCCATTTCAATAATAAGAATTTAACCCTGACTGCAAATTTCTTCATATTCTGGGTGGAAAGAGCTTGAAACTTTAAAAATCTGAGTGTGGGAGAAAGTAAAAAGGACCCCGATTAACACTGTGTATGCATGCTTTCTGAAGACCACAGCCTGCAGAATTCTTCTCCAGGATGCTCCAACTGAGTAGGAAATTCCAACAGTGACCAAGATTGGGCAAAATCCCCTGGCAAAAGCTAAAGCCCACGTAGCTGCCTTGTTACAAGATATGAGTCTGGAAGAAAGAAGAGGTTGTGCTCTTATCAGGTGCTGGGTTTCAACTGAGTGACACCATGGATTCAGTTCTTCCAATACAGGAGAGGTAATGCCATGCTTGTATGGAGGTCCACCATAGTGGACAACACAATTTTCTGCCCCTGTATATGTGTGCGGGGCAGCCATCCTTGCCAGAGGGCCTGAACTGTGAAGCGATAGTCCTGGTGCAGCTGCTCATCTTCATCTTCCAGATGTGCCATTTCACAGTTAGTGCGTAGGCTTGAAAAACACCCCTTTGCCCCCTTGCAATCAAAGCTATTCTAGCATTCACTCCTAAGTAGTATAAACAGGTTGGAACATTGCATTGTAGTGGAGCCTCAGCAGGGACTCAGTACCAGCACTTTTTGATTAGCAGGGATGCTGACATCTACCACCCACTCAGCCTTCCCTGTTCTTCTGAGTAGAGGAGAAATGGATTTTCCACCAATGACATACTGTTGTGAGCTAAGTATTCTGCAACTCCTTGGTCTTGAATGGGCAGCAAAGACTTGTAAGCCTTTAAGAAGCAGACTGCTGGAACAGGTTTGTGGATATGGATCAATGCAGATGCATGGTTTTTGGACTCGTTTTGGATAGCATAATGAGTGCTTGCACTTTGAAATTCACCACCACCCCAGATAATAGATCCAGAGATGTTCCCTGCCTTTTTGATAGCTTTGCACAGTTCAATGGAGCTTCTTTCTCTTCCTCATCCCCATCACCTGGGTGGTTCAGAGTAATTCCTATTAAGTATAGGAATAACAATGGAAAGAGAACATACTGAGCTCTACACACCGATCTGCCCTTGCACCCAACGGTCTCCTTTTTCTCATCCCTCCTTCCCCCACTCTGGCTCACCATGTCCGCTGTCCAGGAAGTCCGTGATGATGGCAGCACTGCAAGCCGACCAAGGGTTGGTGCGGTCAATCTGGATGAGTGTCGGTGACATCATGTGGTTGGTTCTCAGCCTACCAAAGACCTCCTCACAGACCTTCACATTGTCATGCGGCATGTTGAACACGTGCCCTGGAAGAGAAAGAGGTACAGTTTGAGAATCCAGAGGACACTCTGGCAGCCCCCGGGCAATTCAGCTAGCACAGGGCAGGGCCGAAGCGCTTGCAACCATTTCATGGGGGCTGAGAAGGACAAAAAGGCATGGGAGATCAAAAGTCTAAGTTTTTCAGACAGGTCATGAAGATTGCATTGAATTTTGTGGGCATGTGCCTTTCCAGGGAAGGCCAGCAGATGCTAAAGAAACATCTTTTCTCAGTGGTACAGTTAAGTAAATTTTACACATTGGGCTTAATGGTCTTTGGGAAAGCAGTTCTTTAAGATGGCTACTTGTATTACTTCAGTTGTGAAGCTCACAACCAGCCTTTCTCTTCACCATCCAACCACCATTCTGTACTTGCAACCACTATTATGTTCCTGCAAGGTTAGAACAATAACAACGATGGAACAGTTTGCCAACCCTGATTTACAAACAAACAGCTCTCATCATGTACAGTTTTACATTCTAAACTCCCATAAATAGTACCAGCATCATGACAGGAATAAAATGGAGTTTATTTCTGCAGCTTTGATTTCCTCATCACCTTCTGCTGCCTTGGTCATCTTTTGGGGCCCAAGACCAAGTCCTAGCTGCAATACTCTCCTTTCTCTCCTTTTGCACTCCACTACTTTCCTTTGCAAATAATTTTTCCTTCCATCCCTTACAGGGCCATTGTTCCAGAGAAAAGCAGCTGCCCTCTGTGGACCATGGTGGCAAAAGTCTTCACATCCTACTTGCATTTTTTTCATTCATTTACTATTTATCTAACCCACCAAAGGCACCTCAATCACTTATGGGATTACTGGCTCTGGAAATGCCTGCAGTACAAATAGTTTCTTCTTTGGATCCCCTTCCTGGCTCCGCAGACTTCTTCCTTCTCATGTTCTAATCAGATTGCCCCCAAAGGCAGAAAAAGTTACAACAGATGCAAGTCAATTCTTGCCAGCAAAAGCTTGCAAGCCAGGAGTTTGCTGGCCAAGATTCACACCATCTGCTTTGTGCATGGACACTCGTCCTTGCAAAAGACATGAGAAGTAAACTCAAGAAACTGATGGAGGAAGTGGGGTGGGGTAAAGAAATTATTTCCCTGTTCAAACACTTTGGCCACCCTAGGAACAAGGTTCTACGCACCCCCATCCCTCCAGAATTTGGGGTCCTTCTGAACATCTAAAAGCAGACAGCAGATACATTGGTAACAGCTGAATAGCCGCCTGTTAGAAATTAGGCCTAAAATAAATGTCACTAAATTTTACATCCGTCAAAACATTAATATTAAAACCAGGCAACTTCTGAGTTTTAATGTCAAGATTTGAATACTCCTGCAGACACCTACGCCACTGGGAATCTTTGTTAAAACACAAGTAGGGAGGTGTGGATGTTGTAAAGTCTGTTCTGTTTTTCGCAGATTGTCAGACCCCTTTCGTTCTGTGTGTTCATTGTGTGTTCTTGTGTGTTCATTGACACAAGTGGATTTTGTGCAAATACATTCACATATCTTTGTGTAAATTCACACTTCTCCAAATTTGGTACCTCAAAAGTGTGCATGCACACACACCCAAATCTGAATTTTCATGCTTTAGCTAATAGAGAAAATGCATATTCTGGTTGTTTTTAAACATTCTTTTTACATTTTTATATGACTAAATATGCATAAAGGTGCACAACATTTTTTAAGGGTCTGCAGTCCCTCAGGAAAAGCTGGTCTACCTAAAAGTTCGATCTCATTCGAATCCATTGCAGGTTGCTCAGATTTCCCGAATAAGGATGCAAGAAGAGCCCTGCAGGATCAGCCCAAGGAGCCATTCTACAGCATCCTCGTTTCCACAGTACCCACCCAGGCCCCTCTGGGCAAGGCACAAGCAGGACATGGAGGGCAACAAGGCCCTTCCATTCACGCTTCCCCACAACAGATAATTCACAGGACATGACATCTGAATATGCTGGCAAATCCCAAAAGCATCAGTGTGAGAAAGAGCAGGGGACAAGGAGAGGGAGGGGGAAAGGTGTAGCTTGTACCATGGAGGGGAGGAAAGGGGAGGGGGCAAACATTGCTAAAGAGTTTCTCCAGGGTTAAAGCCAGTCCCACTGGTGAAACACCTGATCCCACTAGTTCGGAACACACATGTCTCTGCTGAGCGTGGAAATCAGAAGTACCGCCAAAAACATCATAAAGTAGCTGGAGAAAACAGTGGAATGCTGGGAAGGAAATAACAAAGGAACAACAGAACTGGGGGAGGGGGGTGTCATGCATTCTGTACACAAGGGAAGTGTTCCCACACTGGGGCAGGAAGAAGGGGGATACACTGCTGTAGAGCCATTCCTCCTGGTTGTCTACAACCATCACAACTACATCTACGGCCACTGATAAGGCTTTTCCAATGACTTTGTTTAGGAGCCCTTTAAAGCCACAGAGCCAGCAAAATCCTCAAACTAATTATGTGCTCTGTGAAGAATCTCCTGCCAAATAATTGATAAAAGAAGGGGGGGAAACTATCTGTCCATTTCCGGCCATATATTTGTAACATTTCTCCCTTTGGTATCTGATTTTGAAGAATTGGACATTTTTGGTTTTGTTGCTCCATGCCTGGTGTCTGCCAGATGTTTTGGAGAACCATTTTCAGCATTCCTAGCTATTGGCCATGCTGGCTGGGGTGATGAGTACAGAAGTCCAAATATCTTCTGGTTGAGAAAGGCTGCTGTACTGTAAAATGACCAACTCTCTCCCTCTCTCTCTCAAAATCACTCTCACACACACACACTTGCAGCATTTAACCTTGGGGGCTGGGTGGCAGAACAAGCCTTCATTTTCTTTCCAGCAGACCATGATTTAAGGTTTTGAGGATGTAAAATGGACAGCCTTAAGCCTCAAAAGCACCTGACTCCAAATCTCTGTTTTGGCTAGCTTCACTCACAGATCCACCGATACATTGCTTGATTCACTATAGCCAGCCGTGTGAACTGATCCTTGTATTTGGTCATTCAGGCAGGTGAATTGCATGTATGAAAGTACAGGTAGATGAGTGGCAGTCACGTATACCATCAGCCTGCCCTCCTAATCAGAAGAGACTTGTTCCTGTGGATCCCATTTCTGGCCATGAGGCACAATCGCAATCAGATATGCGAATGCACCATTTGTTGCTAGATAATTAAACAAAACAAAACAAAGCCCCTTCCTGTTAGCCACATAAGGGCTGAGCGATTTGGCTGTAAATCCTTCTGGCAACGCAGTGCTCAGCTTCTCCGGATCTAGGTGTGTGTCTAATGCACATTGGCTATGACATGATATATCAGGATTTCTAAAGCCTGGGAATTGAAACAACTGTAGAGATAGAAGAAGCAGATCTTTAGCTTGGGTTTGCTTGTCTTCCTAACAGCTGTTTTTGAACAGTTCCAGTGAAATCTCCCTATAGCACTGGGAACAGAGCTGTAGGATGTCTGTCTGTCTGTCTGTCCCTCTGTCTCTCTCTCTCTCTCTCTCTCTCACACACACACACACACACACACACATGGGGGGGGAGGGAGGGGGGGAGAGAGAGAGAGAGAGAGAGAGAGGGGACTTTCCCCAGGAAACTCTTGTGAAAGCTCTTCTATTATCTAAATTTCCTGAATGAAGCATTTGGGGTTATTTTAAGCAGCAGACTTGTCTCCCTCCTAATTATGGATCAAGAACTTCCCTTTCTAAAAAAAAAATGGATCCAGTCCCCACCCCACCGGGTGAAATCTGCTCCCCATGTGGCGACCGCAAACATGGGCCCTGCCTCTTTGCTGTGGCTTTGCTTTAAGCGGCCACTTCCTAACCCACAGGATGATGGATTGAGGCTTCTCGCCAAGATATGGTCTGGCGAACATTTGAACACGAACGTGCAGAACCAGCCTGAGCCAAAGCACAGACAGTGAATGATTTGACGCTGCAGCAGTGCTGGACTGGAAGCCCTCCGAGGTGTCAGCTGAGCAGTATTCTGGAGCAGTATTCAAGGGACCATATGACCAGGGGCCCTGAGCCATCTGGGTAAACATGCAGATGCAGACAAAGTTTTAAAAGTCTGAAAGGCCACATATAGAATTGGCTTACAGAGCTCGAGAGTCATAGATGTGGATGAGAGCGGGGCCAGTTTGCACCAGGGGGCACAGGGGCAGAACACCTGCTCTGCAGGCAAAAATGTCCAGGTACGGTTCCCGGGCTGTCTGGCAATTTTGCTGTAAACTGGGCAAAAGAAGATGGCAACAGCCTCTTTGCCCAAAACCCAGGAGAGTGGCTGCCCATCATACTGGGCCATATGAACCAATAGTCTAACTTGATCACAAAGTAGCTTCTTAGGATTGGCCCTTCCCCAGCAGTGGCCAACAGGTGGTCTTTGGCCTGATTTCCAGAGCCCTCTGGGAGGAGTACTCTGGACAATCCAGGACGGCTCCATGAGTGGGAAGGAAGAACATGGGAAAGAAAACAGGATGGCAGGATAGAGAGAGAGAAGAGAGGATGGGAGGAAAAACAAAGAAAGCAAAGAGAGTGGCAAGGACATAGAAAGCCCCCCTCCCCCCCACTGTTGGCGTCAGCCCTGCTCAAAAGCAAAACACTCCCCAACAGATTTGGCATGAAGGAATGTCACCCTTCACAGGAAAAAGTCCGGTCTCTCACCTCACCGGCTGTAAATTACACATTTCCCAGCCTTAGAGTTGTTGGCCTTGCTATAATTTGTATGAATCAGGTATTTCTTGGCCTGTCAGAAGACATTATTGCTTTACTGGCTTTTAAAATTTGTTTTTAGATTTAGTTTTATTTTTACAAATGGCTAAATTCGCTGTTGTTTTTCAGTATCTTTCTATCCATATTGCCTTGGTAACTGAAATTGTTTATTGACATCTCTGAAATATGGTGTGTTAATTGGGGGGGTTAATATTTCCTGCACGTTTGTCATATTCTCATCTATTTTATGAAAATCAGCTCTAGTTTATTACATCGCAAGACCCACATAACTGAAAATGACGTCAGCATTGCATGTCAAAAGGATACTGGAATAGACATTAAAAGAAAAGGACTTGGACATGGACTGCAATGCCAGCCAATTCTCTCTTTACCAAAGCCATGCCTTACCTAACTCATGCGCCGTGGTGAAAGCAGAAGGAAGCCCATCATCCTCAATGACTGAGCAGCTGCGTTTGGGGTCACACATGGTGCCAACATCTGCCATTCCCAAGGTGTCGCAGGTGGTAGCACCGCACAAATCCTGCCAGGAGCAATAAATTTTTGAAATTAATTAATTAATTAATTAATTAATTAATTAAAAGGCCCTTTATTCTCGAGACCAAAAAGCCTTGCCTAGTCTGTGTCCAGGCTGGTCACAGCTCTGCTTGAGTTGACTTTGGCTATGAACACAGACTTCTGGAGTAACCACTATTTTATTGATTTCTTGTATGCATTTATACCTCACCTTTTCAGATAAACCTTACCATGACACTTTGCAATGTGAGAAATAAAGCCAATAAGAAAAAGGCAATTAATGGAGCATTTCAATACACCAGCGTTCTCCGAAGTGATGCCTTCCACTTACACTGAACATCAATTCTCGTCAGCACCGGTCCGCATGGCTGGTGATCACAAATGCTGTCAGAGGAAGGGAGACTAGGCATCTGTGCACACGTATCAGAGGGGGGAGCCCTGTGAATTCAATGGGATCTACTCTGGGGTAGATATATTTAATTTATAGCATTTTGATTCACTTCTTCAGCTGTAAAGACTCCTGGAGCAGCTTACAGCCCAGGATGGTTCCAGCTTTCAGATTTATAGTCAAAAAGATGTGACACAAAAGGAAAAAGTGATGAGGACCAAAGAAAAGCAGTGCAAATTCAGGCACCACTTCTTAAACCTAAACAGCAAATCTCATAAAAAGCAGACAGAATGGAAGCCGTTCAGAGGGAGGAGGCGTGTAATGGAGCTGGTCTTTCAGCAGAATGGCCCTGCTTCCCATCTCCCTCTGCTGCAGCCGGATGGAAGGCAACATTAGAACTGCATTATGAAAGGTACGTCAGGGAATACAACAGAAGAAAAGTCTCTTACAGGATCCAGGAGTCATTCGAAGACAACATGATTAGGAAGCCTTGCAGAACAAAGCGAGATTCCTAGCATGTGTGAAGAACGCAAAAGGAGAGCCTGCCAGGAGGGCTTCCACAGCCATGGGAGCATTAATGAAAAGGCCCTGATTCCAGGAGCCACCAGCCTGAATGAATAATCAGCCAGAGTTCAAGGCCTCTGAATTCTCTCCTGGGGCTTATGCGGCTGGTTCAGTTTTCCCCACAACAGATCTACCTACCAAATGCATTGCATTGCATGTGCTGCCACATTCAAGGTATTGAAGACCACCACTTTTACAGAGCTCCATGCATCATAACTTACACCTAGCAGGGCCTTTCTCATTTCCCCTCCAGTCTTAGATGGGGCTTCAGAAATGCCAAAGCTCCACGCACCCGCATTCCAGTTGCTCCCCCTGGCAATCTCCTGACACCCCACTCACAGAAAACGCATGCATTGCAAGCGGGCAGGGCTCAGCGGAAGTGCAGGCTGAAGGTCCCAGTTTCAATCCCCTGCATCTCCAGGTGAAGCTGGAAAAACTCCTGACCCAAACCCTGGAGACCCACTGCCAGCCAGTTCCAATAATATTGGGCCAAGTGGATGAAAGGTCTCACTCAGTAGAAGGCCTCACTCCTGTGTTCCTCTGCCCACCACATGCTGGTTTTTACTGGGGAGACCTGGGAACCATGGCTTCAGCTAGGGCTGTTCAGCAGAGACACCAGCAAACTGCCTTTCCCCAGATTTTTTCAAGGAAGCCGTAACAAATGTACGACTTGTGGCCTCCAACTGTAGTATATTTCTATCCCCTCCAAATGGAGAGAGAGTGGGGGAAATGGCAGCGTTTTGAAATAAAATGTGTCATAACTTCCTTGATGGTTTAATTCTCACCATCAGATAAATACAGTCCCTGAAATAGAATCCCTCAGGGCAGCTTGGCACACACAACGTAACTTTCCCTACACCATTTGTTTGTTGAGCTGCAAGTTTTGAAATACCCAGAACAGGGGCCAAGAAGTAAGCGATTCCTGCACCTATGAAAGCCATTCTCTGCTACAAAGTGGGAAGGTGGATTGATTATATTTAGATATTTCTATTTTCCTGCAAGAAAATCAAGACACTCATTTTATTCAAATAACCCTGTGGGGCAGGTTAGGCTAAGGGTCAGTAGCTGGCCCCGAATCATCCACTGACTTTCATGGCCAAATGGGGACTAGAACCCAGATCTCCTGAGTCCCAGTCCAACACTCTAACCACTGCTGCTCACATGCACAGGTTATGAGTGCCTGGAGTTTTCCCAGGACATGCATTTGTATACAGAAGTTGGCATGCATGCTGGAGCATTGGCCGAGGAAGCATGGAAAGAACTGTGCATTTTTAGCACAGACGAGCAAGTGGAGGGGCGAGCGGATATCTGTTTCTTACGACATTTACAGCTCTCATTTGTAACCCTTGCAATAAACTCAAGGCAGCTTACATGGCCCTCCTCCTCTCCATTTTTTCATGAGCCCATCTGCTACCAAACCATGTTCAAGATTCTTTTGCTCACATTCAAAGCCTTCAATGATCGTGGACCTGGCCAATTATCTTCCCTGAATCCACACAAATGACCCCAGAGATCTTCTGAGCTGGTCTTGTTGATCATTTCATGGCCAAGCACATGAGCCCCATCAGGTCTTCCTTGGCTCCAGCCCTAGTAGGAAGTATTAGATGCTCTGCAATGCATATCTATTTTACTCAAGCTTTTCCTGACTTTGAATTGCACCTCTCTGATTTACTGTTTGTGCAAGGGCATTATTTTATACTATTTTATATTATATTTTATGTTTTTTTTAATTTGAACTGCTTCTAAAACCAGAAGAAAATTCTACATGGGAGGAAACAAACTGGTTACCAGGTAATTTTTGCCCTACATGAACTCCAGGAAGCAAAATGATGAAAATCATCATTTTACATTTGGACAGTTTGTCTAGGCAAGGCAGAGGGAAACGGGAGCACCCCAGCCCCTTGCCATGAAACAGGAGAGCTAGATACAGGCTGCGTAATCCAATGCCAAGCAAGGTCTGAGCCAAGCCACTTGCCAGACTAGTTCAACGTACTAATGGAAAAGGCCAACCGAAAAAAAAAGAGGAAGAAAGATTCATACTGAGAAGGTGTTGGAGCCGAGCCATAGACAGGTGTCAAGGGGTGGCCAGGGACCAGGAATTGTGCCAGGGGCAGAGGAGAAAGGACTGGGCCAAGAATCAAAGCCAAGGGAGTTGAACTGTGAGGTCATGCGGATGAACAAGCCAACAGCTAGGAAAATCTATCATTGCCCAGACAAAATGCTCCCCATCCGAACAAAGAGGTTTTATCGGCCTTCCTATTGAACCCATGGCCATTCTTGGTGGGTGGAGAAAATCCAGGACCTGGAAACACTTATCTGGCTTGGAAGGCATCTCTACTCCAAGTGGCAATGACTCACCAGGTGAGCACAGCGCTGTGGGTTCCGAGTTCTAGCCCCAGCAGGTCCAGACAGCACCAAAATTGGTCCCAGAGTTGAGAGGATAGTGAAGATCTGTGTGTTTTTACTCAGATTCAGTGATGAGTTTTTCACTCTTTCAGAACAATTGTCCTTGGTCCGCATTTTTCTCTGAACTCATCTGACTTGCACTTCCTGGCTGAATATGCAGACTGGAGCACAGTTATCTTTCAGATTGCAAACCTCTCCTAATTTTGCAACACAGTTTTCAGCTCAAAAAGTTCCTACGGAAATGCATATCTTGGGGGGCATTCATACAAAAATCCACATATTATAGAAAGTTGTTTACAAGCCTGCAAATATGTGGAGAAATTGCATACAAAACCCAATTTGCATTTTCCATGTATTTTTGAAACATGAGTATGCTGACGGAGAAATTGGATGGAACAGGTTTAAAACTGAATTCATACAGAACTGGCACAGACCAGAAACCAAATGATTCATCCACTGAATTCTGGCTGTCCATACCTGTGAAAGAACTTGAATCTATGGGGCTCTACCAAATATGATTGCCTTTAGGGGGACTGGTAAACAAAATAAGTTTTCCACAGCATAAGAGCAAGAGATGATGTATTGTTGGCCAAGAGTGTGGATACATGGGTCTGGGAAAAATCTTTAAAGAACTGAGCAAGGGACGAACAACTCCACTGTGCCACAAATAGAAGCAAAATAGCTTAGCTTTCAAGGTCCGGGGGCTGCCTCTCTGGTTATTAACAGGGTTGCACTGACAGAACTTCCAAGTTTTCTTACAGACCAGAAAGCCTGGAGAGTACGAAAGCACATATGGGTTTGTGCCTGTGGATGATGTTCCACAGATTGGCAAAGGGCATTGCAAGAATTAGACATTTCATCTCCCCAGCCAGAAGCCTGGTTGGCCACCTCCTTGCAGTTATTATCCTCTCATCTCACAGGCGTGAAAGCTTCAGGCAACAACCAGCACAGCTGGGAAAAGACAAGAGCCTCAACCCCAGTGTCAGCGGCACCACGGGGATTTCGGCCACATCCTCTTCTTAAGTGATAAGCCCTCCTGCTGCTGTCAGGAGCCAGGCCTGACATCATGGCCTGCAGATGCGGCCTGCAGAGGCCAGTATGCAAGTCTGAGCTAGGGCAGTGCCGTTTTATTCACATCTTCCAAATTGCTTCCATATCCTCCTCTTGCAAAAGCAGCAAGAATAGCTTCAAGACGGCTCCTCGGAGACCCCAAACAACTTTTTAGCAGGAACATACGCTATCAGGCTCTCGGGATTGCACTGCACTGCCCAATGGACAGGGTGCAATGCTGCAGCGGAATGTGCAACATGGTAGTACCATTCTAGGAAAACTCAACACCCAGTTTGCACCGCCGGAAAACTGAGCTCCAGGAGAAGTGTTTTACCCTTCTAGTATCGGGAGAAATGGCACAAAGGCCAGGTGGGTTTGAACAGTGGGTTGCTGGGGAAGAAGCAGGGCTAGGGAAGCGAGTGTGGCTTCCTGGGACTACCAGGCAGCTGGACTGGAACACCCAATGAACCGGATTTGGCCCTGGCCTAACTGGGGTTCTATACCCATGCTTATAGGTTTTATATAAGACTATAGCTAGAATGGGGGCAGCAGTCTAGCAACCAACTTGTTTTACTGACACACCCCACAAGATAAGTTTC